CCCACAACTGTTCTGTCCCCAACCCCCGAACGTCATACTCTAATTCGATCCCTCACCTCAAGACCTGAGTGGAGAGCCATGAGTACCTACAATGTCAAATCCCAACGGTGTCTAGCAGCTAGCATAAACACCCTGTGGTCCAACCTCTATACTGACGAGTGGGTGAATGATCACAAGCCCCCTGAACCCTTAGCCTGCGCAGCGCCACGAAGGAGGGCCCAGAGGGTCCCTGCCCACATCCCAGCATTCAATAGTCATAGGCCATTTTTTCTGGCAGCATCAAAACCTTCCTAGGATTCCAGGGTTTTCATAGGAATGATATTCTAGCAGAGGACAGCAGCAGAAAGCAGAAAACCATCATATTGGTTTGAAAAACCTTTGAAATGTAGGGCTTCGGACTTCTAGTCTGAGGGGGTCTTCGGGAGTGCTTCGACTTTGGCACTACGAGGTACACCCCATGCATAGGGATTCCTATCTGAGCACTGCTGAAGACTCCTTTCTGCAGGGAACGCACAAGCGGCCTGCATTCATATTGCCTCTTCTAGTCTAGTCTCCAACAGGTGCTGATGTGAAGACCATTTCAACATGGAGGCTTGTCCGCCACAAGCCTTGTGCATACTAGCTCGATCATACACAAAGAACTCTTGATGAGACGTTCAAAGAAGATATGCTAGCAGCCGCAAGCCGCGCCACCCACCAGCCCCAAGTGGTTTCGGGCTGCGCCGCTCGTTGGCTTCGGGTGCTGCTCAGACATGTGAAATAATGGTGAGCTTCAGCGGGTATGTGGATCGGATGCGCAACTGCACAGCAGGATGAGCAAGCACATTGGAGAATTCAAATCTGGAGCTGCGAGTCATCCCAAATATGAGGCAGAAATAAATTCTAACCCCATGAAACCCCAAACCCTTCACCTCTCCGCAGGCCAGACTACAATCTCACGAAAAGGCTTCGTTTTACGCAGGGCAGCTTCTTAGCAGAGCTTCTCGCACATTCCGCCTGGCGGGCTAAGCCGGGAACCTGGACCTCTACCCGTCGGAGATTGGGGAACACAGCAACTGATGAGCACTCCAGGCGCAAACTCAAGCCTTAAACCAAGGATGAAGACCCAAGTATCATCAAACTTAATTGAGCCCACATCCGGAGTCCGGAGAGCCAACAGCCAGCTTCGAGACGATTCACGCAGCGCGAGCAAAGCCCATTCTATCATCACTCCCCAGCTTTCAGCAAGTGCCGTATACGAAGTGCAACGAATGACCTCGGCCTACTAGCAACAGCCTTGAAAGCCCACATGAGCCCTTCTAGTTGTGTAGCGCACTGGCCTCCACCAACTCACCCCTGACCACTGCCTGCAAAAGGACAGTTTCAGCTTGCCATGCAGGTGGATTGCAGCAAACAAAAAAAAATTAACACGAAGCAAAGTAAGGCTGGCTTTGAAAGCCTTTCTTGGAAACCCTTTTTTGCGTCCGGTCGGTCTCTGCCCCATATGCTGGAAACCGCCAATACGTCAAGAGTCACATCTCACTTGCGTCTGGGGAGGTGCAATAACCTAACTGAAACTAGTATGCTTGCATACTCACTCAGTCCATGAAGCCCTGTGACACCTCGAGATTCTCACCTTTGAAACCCACAGCTCTGTATCTTTCACATCGGACGTTGCAAAAACAACCCTAAATCTCCTCCTACTATAAGTCCGGTAAAACCGCGTTCAAAAGGACCCCTTGCTTTTGAAAGAATCCTATTTCCGGACAAAAAATCCTTGTTCTCGCCTGGCCTCACTGCCGCCTCCCACAGAGAGCGCGGATAGCGCAGCCCCAGGTCCCGGAGGCGACATGGCGGCTTTTAGAGAATTTTGTTAAACCTATCAAGGACTATGGGAACTTACCTGGTTTCAACTTGGATTTTGGGGAAATCTACAGGGCGCTAGATATTACCTGCGTTTGACTTGGGTGTGGCTGACGTAGTCATAAATTCTAGTGAAGAGATACAGTATTGTTTTTTGGGGGGTCTTGCCTTGCAACAACTGTCGGATGGTTCCAAAATGCTCGAGAACTGTAGCGTCGTAGAGTACTTCCACATCCACAGAATCTCACAACGTGCCACGCCGAGGATGCAAAATGTTTATCAAATTATGTTGTGCCTCGTTGGGATTAGCCATGCACCTTTCTTATCTATGGACGCTGTGGTTTGCCAGGCGTATATATAAATATATACACATATATACATGTTCTGTCGGAACTTGCAAGGGGCCCCGAAGGTTACATAAGAAACCAAAATGATGAAAACCAAACTACTGTTTGTTCAAGGAATGCCGTGTTTCGGGCAGCACGAACAAAAACAACACTTTCCATACCCTCTGCGTACCCAGCCATGATACCAGTATATCGCAACTTTTGGGGCTTTGGGTTCAGATGATTCAGGCTCGTTGATTTCAGCAGCTCAGGCTTGGGTCTGCCATGTAAGGTTCATTTTGTACAACTTGTAACGAATTGCAATTTCACATGTAATATCAGCAAGTGCGTGTTCCGCTCCATTGTTTTTTTGCACGGAGGCTTGTAACCTACCCGTTTTAGAGGGCCTCTTCATGTATGCTGAGGATGCCATGAGTTAATTACGTAGTGACGCAGTGAGAATACCACCAAACGGAGAGCAAGATCACCCCAAAGAGGGTCAAGGTTTCTCTCCAGCTGCCGCTCACCAAAGGTGTCCAGCACGGGTAGGCGAGGCGTCTGCCCGCGCAGCTGACCTTAGCTGTTGTCAGTGGCTGGTTTCAGTTGCAAGTTGTTCATGGATTGAAGTTTTCCAGTGGCTTCGTTTGCTACAGGTTTCTCTCCTTTTCCGTGCTTAACCTGCTACGGAGTTTGGGGCTGCCGGGGCTGCTGAGTGGTCAAATTTAACTGTGAGTTTGCAGGGCTGCAGCTAGCTACGGCGCACTTGAGAACCACAAGAGAAGTTACCTCAAAACTTGACCGAACCAATGCAACCCTGCTATGGGAAGCCCGGGATACGGAAAGGCCCCGGTGATCATCACAGATTCCGTTGTGAACTCAAACCCAGCTGACCTGCAGGGGGGGGGGTTCGGTCCATCTGCCCCAGCTGATGGCTGCAATTCCGCGGCAAACATACATGAATGTATGTGCCACGAGCACCTATTCTGTCGCAACATTGAACTTCCAGCACTGCACCGCAAAACCTTGCCCGCGAGCCCCTCAAGCAAAATCGACACTGCGATGATGATGACAGATGGTAGCCACGCGCAACAGCTCACAGAGCTACCCTGTATCTGCCGAGTCGCCTCCCTTTCAGCCACTTGCCTACTTACCTACTAAGAAGTTAGTTGGAACACAAGCGTACAAGCGGGGGAGCCAATGACAAAATTCTACGTGGAAGCCCTCACCTCTGCCAGAGCTCGGCAGCGTTGCAGCGCAGCGTTCACCAGAGCGCTGGAGGCAACGGAGTCCAATGCGCAGAGGCCCATTACCTGAAAAAAAAAAACAATAGTTGAGGAGTTGGGGATGGGGCTTGTGACCCTCCCAATCAGCTTAGTTGCAGCATACTTTCCCTTAAATTATGTAGGTTCAGCCTCGAAGCTTAAGGTGTAAGGTTCCATCGTTGTGTGGGCCAAAGCTTCAGCATATTCTTCGTAGCAGGCACAAGCTCAGGTCAGCGCTACTTGCCCTAAAGAATTTGAAAGCCAGCTACCTCTGCGAATTGCACTAGAATGAATGCCACGAGAAAAAAAAAACTTTTATGGTAGAACTAGGATCGTGCGGCAATGGCACGGCACCCATCGGGAAGGGCAGCATCGACTTCGCGACAAGATGCCTGAACATCGAGGTCAACATTACTGGTAACAGTGGCAGCTGGCATGGAAACTTTGGATGGGCGGGAGCCGGATGGTTTCGTATCCTTGCGGGTTCATTCGCATTCTTGGTTCATTCGCATTCTTGCCACTGACGCTTCGGACCTCCGGTCGGGCCCCAAGGTAAAATGTCCCAGTGTGAACCGACCAGATTCAAATTAAGCTGACACATGCGTACTGTCCTAGCCAGAAATTCAGCAACTGCACATGGTTGCACCTGTTCCTCGTCAGCCACGTCAAATCCGAGAATTCATGCATATGTTCTTGAATCCAGCATCATGCAATGCCAGTTCGCCCATGTCATTTCTTCCTCAGCAATCAACTGCGGACTGCCTTAAATTGGCAACACCAATCATCCCATTGAAAATTTAACAGAAAAAGTGCCAAGCATCTTTTGGACCACCCGCACGCGTCCCTCCAGCACAACCGCTTGTGAGAGGCCGGAAAGCACAATTGCATGCAACCGATTTTGCAGCGCCTCAGCGAAGTTGTGACAATTGCACATCCAGCATGCACAATGGCTCTTGGGCCATCCCTCCCAAACTTTGCCTCATATTACTTGTTGCAATCAGGACATACAGCATCCAAAAACCCGTGTGTATACCCTGTGTAGAAACCCCATCACCACGTGCAGCTTGAACACGGCATCCCAAACTAGCGAGTTTTGAATGCTCGTGGGAAATGCTCCGCCTTGCAACATGAGCTTCCTCGGCACAAGGGTTGGATACAAACATGTGTGCATCTCACATTGCAACATGAGGCTGTGTCCACGCGACATGCAAAGGGCAAAAGCATTCCAAACCACTCGTTTTGCCGCAAGTGCAATATTCAGTGCCTTGATGTGCCTTGTGCCGAATCCGGCACGATGCCCCGCATTTTGCTGACGGTCATACCAGTTGATGTTGCAACAATCATCAACAATGTCTTCTAAGCGCATGTTTGCCTGAGTGCTGCTTTGCTTCAATCGACAATACCTGATAATATGAGAATTTCTTGCAACAAAATTCTCATCACACTCATGATGACATTGGAATACACATCATGACTCCATAGCTGCCGAGCCACCAGCAATTGAATGCTTCAAGGCAGTCGTTTGCCAGGAAGCTTGCGCAAGACGGCCTGCAACATCTGCGGCCACGCCTCATAACTGGGCAATCTGCACCAAACAGTTCCCCTTAAGTGCTGTACTGCTCCCATCTTTGAGTTCACAAAACTGACCACCGTAATCCCAGCCTTTCAAAACTGCCGATGCCGATTTCGCATTCCCCAATGCATATGGCCAGGCTTTCCGCAAGAAACGGTTCAGCTTGCCACGCAATACAGGGTCTCGGACCACAGCAGAAACGCTGTCCCAGCAAAGCACGTTCAGGTCCACATCCGGATTGTGTGCCAGCTTTGCCTTTTTCTTGCAAGGCTGCGCAAGCGTCGGCGTCCGCATGTCAACATCCGCAGCGTAATCGTTCAAACCACCACCCGGAACAAACCGCAACCGGTCGCCGTTTGGCATGAAGCTGGATGGGAAATAGCCTTGAACAGTCGAAAAATGTTTACACCCATGCTGTCCTTTCTTGGGGAAATGTCACCACAACAAAAACGTTGTGCAACGACCTTTTCAGAATCAGCCGAGCCTTGTTTCAGGGACACGTGGTCTGCAGCTCCCGCACGCCAACATCGGAAGTGCACGGCTTCGAGGACGGCATGCGACGGATCCTGCTGTCAATCCCCAACAAAACGTACACGGACATTTGCGGACAAGCGTGCTCTGGTAATCCGTGCTCCTGAATACGAAAACTTTTAAAATTGGCAGAAAATTTGTCGGGCCCAATTTGGGGGTCAACGACCACTTTAAAGGCGGAGGCTTGTTGTGGGCCAAGCACGGCCAACATGCAATGGTCGTTGACATGATCACGCACGGTCGCAGTGGTCTCCTGGTAACATGTTATCAGTTTTGCTTCAATTTGTTTACTCCGCATTTTTTCACATTTTTCCCCCCCGCGCTGCCAAAGAAGAAGATTTTTTGAAAAAAATGTTTGTCGAGCTGAATGTGCCCAAGAATTTGTGCCGGACGGCCGCCCTCCTCCAAGCAGCTGGTGGGGTAGCAGCGTGAAAACAGGAGCTTGGCGCCGAGAATCAGCACACAGCAGCTTGCAAGATCAAGACATCGCGTTGAATAGGCCCAGGGTTCGCGTAGAACAGTTGCTTGCAGAATTGCTTGTCGAGCCGAACAGGTCCGAACGAGCCCAGGAATTTGTGCCGGACGGCCGCCCTCCTCGGAGCAGCTGGTGGAGTAGCATTTTTTTTCATTGTTGACTGCTGATGTTTTTGGCACAGGGCTGGCTAAAAGCAACCGGCTCCGACCAACGTCAACAAGCGGCCCAGTATTCTGAAATCTCGACCCAGGGCCATGGTCGCAACGGTCCTTCGGGCGGAAACCAACAATGTTAACCTTGACATGCGCGCAACCCTTTGTAAAGTACGGTGTTTGGATGGAATCTCCACAAAGGACACGAGTGCAAGGCACCAAATCCAGCAAGCTGCCTACCGCAACTGCCAAGGCCCATGGCCACGCCGAATGAGAATCAGCTGCACGGCCAAAACAGGGCGGGCGTGGGCGAGCGGGCGCAAAGCAAACACAAGGAAGCTTGCAGCGCGCAAGCATCCTCACAAGAGCAACAAGCTTCAGCTACAGCAAGCGTGGGTAGACGCTACGTCTAGGGCTCGTGTCACGCGCTGGCCATTAACCCACTTACCCAAGCACGACTCTACCCTGTTTTTTTGCCGCGTTTTTTGCACCTGCTTCCTAAAGCCCAAGTCGGGGACAGGGCGGCTAAGCCCAGGCATCCGGAGGCGGCCAATTGCAGGCCCCCACAAGGAGTTCCCAGCTGGCGCCAACCAACAGGTTGGGGAGTGCCGGCATGGAAACGTCCCCGTTGATCACCCCTGCCAGCGGAAGCTCCAGCAAAGAACCAGCGTGAGCCGCTGCGCCGTGAGGGCGGCACTGGCGTGCCCGCATCAGCTCCAGGTAGGCGTCGCGCTTGCGATGGGCCGCATTGTCCACTGCCCATCTGGGCCGATATCTTGCGACGACCTCGATGCCCTTTCCATAAGGGTTGGACATACATGGGAGGGTCAAGCCCAGGATTTCATCACCACAAAATCCTGGGGGCTTGACCCCACAGGAAAATAAATCTCTAGGGGCTTGAAGCCTCAATCATGTGATTTTGGGACACTGGTCGGCTCATATCCGAGCAACATGTCTGATATGAAATCCAAAGGGTTTGACCCCTATACTCACTAACAACGAGACATAAGTTTTGGGCACCTAACTCTCAAACAACCGCTGAGAGTGCTGATCCCTAAGAATGAATTCCTGCAGCCCATGCACGACCGAAAACTAAAACCTGTATGAATCTAAATCTGGGGGCACGAACCCCTGGATTTTATCTTGGCGCATCCGCCCCTATCCTTTCAATCTCTGGGTCCTGCATGCTCATCTCGGCCATGCGCACACTGCAGGCACCGCCGCGACACCCACCGCCCACCCCAACGCCAGATGTAGCTGCGCATGGCGGGAAACCAGACGTGGCGCATGCGGCCCGGTGGTCTCCGCGGGCGTCCAGGTGCCCGTGGCAGCCGTAAAGGCGCGGCAGCTGCAGGCGGCGGGAAGGAGCCAGGTTCGGACGGCATGACGCTGCCAGCCCCACAGGTGGCAGCGTCCCCTCCGTGGGGGCTAACCCTGAGCCACGTGGTGATTGCACGCGCTGGTGTTGGCCTGCCAGGCCTGCAGAGGCGGTCGGCCACGAACGATTCCTGGGCTCGGACAACCGGCAAAATATCGGGCATAACGATCAGCCTCGGCAATCCTGAGGACGAGGCCACCAAACCTCAATGCCAGCTGTGCTGCGCGAAAGTTGTGTGGCACAAGCCCTTCCCCATAGTCGAGTACTGCCGTGAAGCCGCGCGCGATGGCCGCATCATGCCTTGAAAAACACGCATCTGTGAGGTGAGGCGGCAAAATAAAACCCGGAAAAGGTAGTTGGCGCGCGGCGTTGCGCAAAAGAGCAGCAGCCACATTACTTGCAGATCCTCAATACGCGGGATGCTCTGCAACAGGAGGTCCTGGGACTCGCGTTTGGCTTGGATCCCGTGTTGCGCAAATGTATCGGAGCCCTGCAAAGCACCCGGCACAATGAGTCCATGCTGCACTGCTGGTAGGGACAACAAGGGGCACAGGGGCTCCGTCGCGCCGCAAGCAACCGGCACATCGGCGGGCCCTCCGGATGAGTGCAGGCCGTCCAGTCTGACGCAGCAAACCCCAACCCTGTACGGCCTGCACAATACATTTTTTTTTTTTCCTCGGACCTTTTTGCAACCATTCTGCGCGGTCCCAATGCACAGGCGAGGCCAAGACCAAGTCCAGGGCCACACAAGGGGGCCAAGGCAGTCCACAGAAGTCCAAGGCGGGCAAGGCAAGCTTGGACGCGCGGGCCGCCGGCAGGCTAGCTGCAGCACACTTCATCAAGCATGGGCTGTGCATTGCACATGTCACTCGGGGAGGGCTCCCAGACCCCTGCCCAACATGTTTCTTCGCTGCTTTTTGCACCTGCTTTCTGAAGTCCAGGTAGGGGGCAGGGAAGCTATGCAAATGGAGGCGGACCATTGCATTCGCCTACCGTGCTCGCGGGGGGAGGCAGTGGCCCTCACTGGGAGTTCCCAGCGAATGCCAGCCAACAGGTCGGGCAGTGCCGGCGCGGAGTCATGGCCGTGTTTTTTTTGCACGCTCCATTTCTGGACGATCCGCAGTCCCAGTGCATGGCGGCGCGTGGCCGGCCAGGCATCCAGAGTCCAGGGCTCTGATTATGTGCGGAAGACTGTCCAAGTCCAAGCCTCACTGCTCGAGGCGGCTGGCAGGTGGGGAAACCTGGCGGCAGGGTCCTCAGCGAGGAGATCGCTGAGTTC